GGCTGCAGTCTGATACAAGGTTGCTTTAATTACATATTAACTTGTATTAAAAAAAAATCAATTTAGGTACTAAGTTATTAGCAGTTGTTTTTTTCCAGGTGGTCTAAGGAAAAAGACATGTGAAACCCATTGAATACTAAAAATCTGATCCACAAATGTCATTCATTGTCATTATGTACCAGAGATAACTATATAGATCTCTGTCTCTTGGTATGAGGTATGCACTCAAATAATGATGCTGTGGTTATTAATACCACACTGAAACAGAACATCATGGCTGACTACAGGGTGGTGAAGGTGGAGCTTATATGGGGCTAGTGATGGCAGTGGTTTCTTTGGCTTCTGAGTTACAAGTCTGAATCCAGGCTGTCTTGGAAAGTGACTGACATCAGGTAATATGTGATGCTTTTCAGAAAGGGACAACAAAAGAAGCCTTTTTCCCTTGGCTATTGTTTCATGGGTAATGTTTACCACTTGCATTTGATTTTGTTGGGAACACCACATCCATCTCCACACATCTCAGTAGCGTTTGTGACATTCAGTGCACTACAGAATTCAAGAGCTACCCTCATTGCATTCTGGAATTCATTTTCTTGGAGTCCAACTTTTGAGTTACTGTCAGAAGCATGTGTCTGCTGGATGCCAGCTTTGTGGCCCTCTTCAAACCATTTTGTCTAGTGACCCTTAAGGACTATAGCTAAGTTCATAAACCACATGATTTGTTTTCTAGCTGCAGCAAGCTGAAATGTTACAAAGCATCCTCTGTGCAGTCTGGGTTACTTTAAGCTTGAGCTTAAGCTTAAAGTCACTTAAGTCTCCAATTACAGCCACAAGATTTGTAGGTATTGAGCAACTATAAGAACAGGTTGGATATGCCTCATGTTAGACACCCCAAAAATTGAAATTCATGGTACTACTGCCTCTTTCTGAAAACTTTGGCTTAATGCCTACACCCATTTTCAGCAAGGAGGGAAGATGACATTGCTGCAGATTTTTTCCTTGCTGTGAGGAACTAGCAAGGTGAATATGCAACAAGGAGGAAATTGTTGAAGGATCAGCCTTGGAAAAAAAGGAAAGGGTATACTTGAGCCAACGGACTCCTTTCTGAAGCCCTTTCACGTATGTGCTGCTCAGGCTGAAGCCTCCAGCGTTCAATATCTCAAGATAGATGGTTGGCAATGACCAGACTTTGCTCTGGCTGATGCAGACCCAGATCTTATTCCCTTCCACAGGGGTTGCACCTGTATCCCTCAGAGCAGGATTTAGCCTTGCGTGGAGTTTGGCCCACAGATGCAGCTGATACATGCTCAGAGGAAGGGGAGAATGCACATTCCCTGTAGGGTGGCAACTGCCAGCCATGTAAACAAAGAAGCCTTCTGGGTGTGCAGCAGTCAGCCCACTTGAACTGCTGTTTCCATGGTATACCAGATGCTATAAAATATGCTTTCTTCAGGGAAAGAAGCTTTTCCTACTCCTGCATTATCTTGTTTGATAATGGGCTGTCATCAGGCTGGTACCTCTCTGTAGGGGCCACACACAGCAAGTACCCCCTGCCCTAACCCTTTTCTCAGTTGTTGTTGATGACAATTCATATTCTGCAGCTTCCAAATAAAGAAAAAGCTAAGTGATTTTTCTGACTTGGAACAGCATTACTGACTATGCTTTTATACTTCATTGTTACAAGTGACTGTTTAATGTGCTGCAGTTCCTCCTGATGCACATGGTGCCATCTCGTAATACTGTGCATTGTTTTGCTTTTCAGTTTCCTTCTGTTTTCCTAAAAAAATCAGAATACATATGTTTCCGTTTTTCCCTGATTATTCCCTTCCTCACCCCTACATTGCTTCATTATTGCTCCTGTCTTATGGCTGTTTAAGCCACTGGGTATACGTCAGCAGGCACCATTTCTAAGTTCACTTCCTCTCCTTGTGTTTACCCACTGGGTGATCTTGGGTCAAAGAGAGGTCTCTGCCCCCATTTTCTTGTAAAACAGTTGCTGTTGGTGGGCAGCTGCTTAGTTGTCTTGTAGGCACTAAGTACAATTGCAATTATAAACCTGGACAAACCTGCAATAATGAGCCTTGGAGCAGATCGACCTCAGCTTGTGTGAATAAGTTACCAAAAGCACTTATGAGGCTTGCTGTGCTTCGAACATGACTCATAGGAGGAGGACAATGTTTTCGAGGTACTGTTTACTGGGAGCCATGTTCAGGGATGATGTTGCAAAACTGGCAGAGCTATGTGGACATGGCATATCCCTCCACGGTGTACTGAGACCATCACAGGTACATTGGCCTTCCACAGGGTTACTGAGAAGAAACATAAGTGCCTTCATATGACCCCAGCTTCCTCTTGTTGAAAGGAGTTCCTTGGCTTGAAAGGGATGCGCACACACATGCCCTCTGCCTTGCCTGTGTTCTGGCCACAGCAGCCTTGTGGGGCTCTGCGTATGCTGGTTGCTTGTCTTTCCCAGGCATCCCAACAAGACCTGCTCATGAGTGCTCACCATGCCCATGAAGGGGGTGAGGATAGCAGTGGGTCCAGGAGGTGGATGACGGAGGCAGGCAGTGGGTGCATGTGATGGTGCAGGATGCTTTCACACAATCTCTCCCAGATACTTTTCAATTGCTTCTCTCCCCCCATCCTGCAGGCTTGTACTTCTCGCTTTGGGGAAGAAAAACTGAGTGTGGTTAATTTTAAGCCAGTGCAAGCATTTAGGAGACTTGGAGGTGGAAAACCAGTTATTGGTTAACAGGACTGATTTGAAATGTGTTCTGCCTGACCCCTCTACTGTAGTGAGCCAGGAGCTGTGGTTCTAAGAAGTCGGCTTTCTGGAAGGCTTTTTCACTGAATCATTTAAAGCCTGGGCTTCTTGTAAATGTTAATATCCTGCTGGCTCGCTGGAATGCAGCTGGTGAATACAGCAAGAGCAATACCTATGTGCGTGCTCACAATCCAAAGCAAAACTTAGCAGGCAAGGTTCAGGCTGTACTTTGGGATGAAGGTTCAGGCTAGGAGGAAAGTGGGAGAGAGGGCAGACCTGCTTCAGCATCGTCTCACAAGACTGTAAGTCCTTCTGCCCCATGCATCTGATACTGTTGTGTTACATGGGGTGCAAAGCACTGGTGTGCGATGCTGCCCAGTAACCTTGAGCGCTGCCCTGTGCCGTGGTGATGCCTCAGCGTGGCTGTAAATCTGTCGGCTGTCTTCAAGCAGGTTGGAGTCACTCTCCCAGGCAAAGCGGTCAGAGTGCACCAAAAAGCTGAGCCTGCTTTACACAGCCTTAGATGTGACCACCTGGAGAATAACGCTGGGGGGAATTTGGCCCCAGGATTTCCCCTTGCATCATCAGGGGAGGGCAGTAGGCAACCTTTGTAATGCTGAAATCATAGCAATTGCAGGCTGAAATCCTGCCACTGCTGAAGTATCACTATAGCAAAATGCAGGTAGGTGTGAATGTGTGTGTACCTTTTCCCCTCCCTCAGCGTCTGCAGATAAAAGCCTTTTTGAGTTAGCTGTATGTATTTGTGGTATCACAAAGGCTTTGTCCACCTTAGTTTCTGTGTGCTAATGGATGGGGCTTTCCTGCTTATCTTAGTAGTAAAGTATTTTTCAGGTGAGAATATATGTATTTTTTCAGGCAATCATCTAAACCACCTCTTTCATAATTTTATATTTAGTGGGGTTTCTTACACACCATCCAGTGCTTTAGCTTTTTGTAGGTTAAGGAAAACCTAAAGTTCAGCCCCTAACCTTGGAGACATATTGTCCTGCAGAATAAACATATTGCAAGTCTATGATTAAAAAAAAAGGCACAACTCTATTAAGAAGAAGAAACAACCGAAGGGCTCTATAAGAGCAGGACTGTAGGTGGTGGCAAGTGCGTTGCTAATTTGGGTGATAAATTAGCACCCAAGGGTGATAAGTAGGATAACTACTTTTGATTACCAGATTTTCTTTTGCTTAGCATAGTAAAATGCTCCCAAAGCATACAGACATTACATGGTTTTGTTTATTTATGTCTATAGTTAATGTATTTACAATAGTTCATATTGTTGTAGCTAATATTATTCAGTATGTCATAAAAAATAAGAAAGATTAAATAAGAGGCATAAGTATTCTACTTTGTTAGTGAATTTTCTCTGAAGAATGAAGATAGATCACAATAGTCTTTCTTGAATTAATATAAATGCAGATTAATGCAGTCAAATGTGTTATTTTTCCATAGACAAGTTACAAATACGATGCAGTATGATTCCCTAATATCACAGTTTTGTAAAACAGATTTTTTTCATATTCACTTTTGGGGATACATTTTGCACACCTTCTTTCAGATTAATCAATTTGAATTCATTTAGGACACTAACAATTTAGTGTAGTGGCAGGTATATTTAGATAAATGGATACCAATTTTCATCGATTATGAAAATGAAACAGTAAAAATTCTAAAAGTTTGTTAAAATGCATCTGCATACTCTTCTGAAGAGTGTCCCAGGTGACTGCTTCGTGCTAAACTCCAACTTTGCCAGTTTGGTGTTTTTTTCAATAATGCAACTAAAACCTAAATAAGACAACCTTTCCACATTCCCTGTGTTTCTCTTGTGTTTAGTAAAGTCATATACTTACTCTGTTATTAATTTCTCTGTCAATTTTTCCATCCACACACCTATCAGAAAAAAATTATGAGTCAGGACCTCAGAATGAAATTAGCTTAAAAAGATATAATCATGAAACGGTAACATATTTTGGAGTGCAAAACCCTGACAAAAACATACTTCATGTCTCTCCAGGTCTTTTTGGGGGTTGAGAATTTTTTTTTAGTCATCATTTCTAGGCTCTACTGTCACAGATAGACAATAAAAGAAAGGTGAGTTTATGAGTTGATACTGTGGTTCTCCTGGTTGAAGTTCAAAGCTTTAGTGTTTGTGTGTTAGCAACTCTGTATAACAGAGTTTGTTAAGTACTGTTCTAAAATACTTTGTTATTTTTCTTTTATCCAGGGTTTTTGGGAAAACCACGCAAAACTCATAACCGAGTATGGACCTGTTTGTGGGTAAGCTTAGCAGTGCCATCAGCTTTCTTCTATTCTGGCTCTTGCTGTTTGAGTTTGTTGGGTGGGAGAGGAGAAAATACCAAGATAAGAAGGTCATCCAAATTCAGGGTCTGGTATTTCAGTCTGGGGGACAGAGGTAGAGGTTGTTTGACTACATACAGAAGCTTATTTTAGTTCAGCATTTCGTGTTGGACTTCATTCTTCTCTTTCTAATTTTAATTATGCACATAAAGTTTAGTCTTTTTCAGAACTGTACAGAGCTACCAGCCTTCAATATTCTCTTTTCATCTGCACATTCTTTATACTTATGGTGAATAGTGGAAATAATAATTTATCATCTTGAAAAAAACTTAGTTTATGAAATAGCATGAATTTGGTTCAGCTGTTGCTATCTATAATATTTATGCAAAATTCCTAAACTTAAAATACAATGAAGTACAGATTAGAAATAAGGCATTCCTCTCTATAGCTCAGCTGTGCTATTTTAGCAGTTTATTAGGAGTAAAGAGGGTTTAAGCACTATATCCCTTCATACAAGCCCTTCCACATTTCTGTGAATGTCATTTCTGTTCCAAGAACTGCTTTCCAGTTGTCATCATTTAAAGGGGAATTGCAGTTATTTCATGGTAGCAGCTATTGTTGTGGTCAGTTGGTGTTTCTAGCATAACTATTATTTCAATATATACGTATCAAGCAATATTCAGAAAGTACAGACAATGTCAAGTTTTTTTTCCTGTGTTCTGGAAGGGGTTTAAAACACTTGTAAGAGAGCGTATATGAACGTGTCTGTGCATATTTGATCATAAATAATATAAATATGCTTTGTATGCTCTTTCAGCAAAAAAGCTCTATGAGAAAGAAGTCAGGCTCAGCCATATGAAGCATTTGATGCTTCAGTCACGGCCGCCTTGTGGCATTTATGCTCAGCCCTAAGGACAAAGTGCTGCAAGAAACGATGGAAATAATGAATTCCAAGGGTTAGGTACTTGTCTAAGAGGAAATAATACAGTGTCTTGGCTGGCTAGGAATGGAGAAAGATATTCATTAACACTGTGGCAATTTGTATGTTGTGTAACAAATGGAAAATGACTGAGGCTTATTATGTCCATGACCTTTGGTGTGATGCCCTTAAATGACAATAATGTAAGAACACTGGCATTCATTCCTCAGTGTATTTCCCTCCTTATTAATATCATGCCTATTTTTTTCTAAGCGGAATTAGAGACAAGTTGCTATTTAGTCGTCTGTCTGCTCACTTGGCCAGGCAGAGGCTATGTCATTGGAGAAAGAGATGTATAATTACAGTGTGTGAGCAGATAGATAGAAAGTTTCATTTTTCCAATCTACCCAGAGCTGTTAGGGAATGAAACCTCTGTGAGACTTGCATGCGCTCCAAAGCCGGATGATGGTGGTAGTGGTCAGCCAGGACAGTTCTGCCTCTTCAGGATCCTGTAGGTAGGAGTGAGCAGACTGAGCATAACTACGTCCCATTTACTGAGTGCATGAAAAACTTCATCTGTGAGGATCTAGGAGGCTGGCAGAGAAAAAAATGCTATCTCCTATGAGATATTTCCTATGAAAACAAAGATGGACTCAAACACTGCTGTGCTTGAGGTAAGCTTTATTTGTCATTGAAGGAGGATGTTTAAAAACCTGGCTTCTGAGCTGCTTTTCAATAGGTGTGGTATGTGTCGGGGGGTATTTATCATGGTCCTGTCAACTAAAGAAATTCCTTCTTCTTCCCTATACATCTTCTGTGTGATTCTTTCTGTGGTTCTTTGAAATAGGCAATAAATGGTAGGTGTGTTTATGTGTATGGTCCCAGCAAAGTATTGGATCTGGCAGTTGGAAGACGTGGCATTTTGCTTTTTCCAGATTGAAAACTGCTTTCCAATAAGCATAAAGAGCAATGATCTTTATTTCTACAGTGGTGAAGTGAGCTGAATACAAATCTTTGGAGCTGAAGCCTTTTTTTCTTTCTAAGGTCACTTGAATAGTCTGAATGATACCATCACAACTGTTTTCTTTTGTGTGTGAATTGGTTTCCTTGACAACAGGATGTCAAATCAACTTTTCAGCTTTAATCAAGTCAAAACAATATATCCCTTCCATTCCAAAAGGCCTCAAGTCGTAGAGAATTATTTCAAGTAAGGCTTTTGTAGGTCACAAAAGCATTTTTTTTTTCTTAACTCCTATGTGTGAATCCAAAGGAGAGGTGATGGTATTACTCTTTTATAGAGAGAGACAATGCAAATAGTCTTCAGTTGTGAGGTGTGTGCTGTAAAGACTGTTTTCATACAGAGATGGCCCAGGATGGAGGCCTAGGCAGAAACAAACAGCTCTGGTTTGGTGCAAAAGCAGAGTTGGAGCATTTCTGTTCATCAGGGGAATCCAAACCACTGATGTGACTTTTGAAGGGATCCTGCCACAGAGTGTTAGTTTTTGATTCAGCTATACTTTGGAGTACCTTCTATAGAAATACCTCCTCTAAAATACGTGTGCTGGTTCTTTATAACAAAAATAAAAGGTGAAGAATATCCTATTTGGAAAGCAGTGTACTGATACATGCTAAGATTTGACTTGAATGTTCTCTTTATGGTAGGAGATTGCAGGAAAGTAGTTCTAGTTTCTGTGGAAATTAGAGACTTATGTCACTTATTTTTTGGATGAACTTTGATGTTTTGATACTTTATTTTCACCCCCAGCATATCCAATTGTTCCATTTCAATTGTAGGTTATGGCTACTGATTGGAAATAGGTGGTAAGAGCAGACAGAGAAACAAAGAGCTACTGGGTTGAAGAGGAGAAATAGAGTATACTTTATGGAATCAGAAAAGCAACTGCTACAATGTGAGCAGAGCTGTAGAGGCAGTTATTTTACTTTATATACACACTTCATATGTATTTGACCACTGTACTGCGATTGCATCATTATGACTTTACAGCACTGTGAGCATGTGTGGCTGGTTTGGAGTTGGAAAATAGTGCCAAAATAAGTAATATATTCTTGTCCCAACACCAGTGAAGGAACAGAAAATACGAATACAATACAGCCCCAAGCAGACAGATGATTGCCTCTGGGATGAATGAACCTATTCTACCTTCAACTGTAGCAATGCATTTGGATGTGGGGAAGAGTGTAAGAGTTCATAACATAGATCTCACTGTGTATAATCAAAGTATAAGAACAGAAGATTAAAATTCAGTGCAATCTGTAGGGTGACACTCTTTCTTCACGTCATTTTGCATCTGAAACAGCTTGCAGCAGGTCAAAACCTGTTCTTACTCTTCCTTCACTTGAACTCTCAACTTCAACCTTCTCTGATTAAGTCTGAACAACTATGTAGTAGAGTAAGTGCTAAAGAGGGCAAGAGCAAAGTAAGGCAGAGTCAGAGATGGGTCTAGGAGTAGCAAGAGGATGGTGTTTGGATTAAAGCAGAAGACGATCAGGGTGTTTGAGCTCAGAGTTGTCAAGCTGTGAACTGGCAAAGGGAGGCAACAAGCTCAAAACCTGATTTTGTAATGAGGGAAGGAATTAATGAGAACATTTCTAACAAGATCCAGTTGTAAACCATTCTCAATCCCTAATAAAACACCAGCGGAAAACCGCATCTACCGATGCTGAGCCTCTGCTGGACTCCAGCATAAGCATATCAGGATCAGCACAGTACCACAGAAAGCATGTCAAGGTGCAGGTACTCCCAAAGAATCTTGTGAAAACACAGATGTGAATGGAGCTCCATTTCCCTAGAAAGGGTCTTGTTTTGTAGTGTGGTTACTTCAGCGCATTTTGAAGTAATACACAGAAAGTAACTTAAAATGGGAGAGGCAATTCTTGTTACAGGGCTTATGGGATTACCCAGTGTCTAATTTGTGGGTGGTGTTCGGTTTATTTTCATTAAAAACTTCCTAATATTCCTTAAATTATTTCCTTACAAGTCATTACTGGAACCAAGATCAAGCCTGGTCTCTTAAATGATTGGGTGTTGTGAAGGATTAGGATAGATCATGGATCCAGTCACTAACTTGAAATGTGTCCAGGCGTGAGTTGTGATTGTTAAGTTACGCTGGCAGCTGACAGCTTTTCAGAAGTCTACACAGCCCAAGTTGGTTCTGTCTTAATGCTTGACTTCTCCTCGCTCAGAAAAATGTCACTGCAGATGGCACTAGTTAGTATTTCTGCAGATGAGTCCGTAATCAAGCAGTTACAGACAAGAAACTGACTTTTCTTGCTGCTGCTCCTGGCCTCTGCATCAGGGCTGAGGTGCACTGATTAGTCACTGTGGAGATTTGGGGCTTTTCCCTTTTTGGAAAGAAAAGGGATATGTGTTTCTGGGATTTGGGCATCTGGATTTTTTTTCTCAAAGACTTATCCTTCCTTCTGCCCTCCTCAGACACCTTTGAGGCAAATTTAAGGTGCATAGGGGCAGGGTTTCCTGCAGGGAACAGCTGATGTCTTCATCATGCAGTTATTTTACTTGAAGAAATAGTGTCTTTATTGCCATTTTAATTTCACAAACTTTTTTTTTAGCCTCACTGTTTCTAGCCTTATTCTGTTTTATGTGGAAAGAGTAATCCCAGGACAGGTATTCTCATCTTTGTCTCTGAAGGCTCCGGTAAAGAAATAATTTAGTTTTATGAAACAGTTTTATCCTTTTGCACTGGGGGTCTAATGGACTTAACTACCTCTCCTGTGGTCCTTCCTTTATTTTGATATTTTAAACAATTTACTTTTCGTATTTCAGCTAGAGAAAATCATACCTGGGCAAGCATAGGGGAGAGAGAAGAAAAACAGTCTTCCTATTACTGATCTATACCTCTTCATAATCCTGTTTCACATTTAACCTGATAAAGATTTTTGGTAGCCTCACTTGCCTGGATTTTTGCTTTCTTAAAGAGCAATATACTTTGTTGGCCAGAGTTGTCTTTCATATTCCATCAAGATTTTTTTTCTTCTGTGTTTCTTCATTTATGTGTTGTGATAAGATTCTTTGACTCTA